TCAACTGACTTTATTGCACACCATTTATAGTTCTCCAAACCTGCGCCATGAAAGCTTCTCCTTTCCAGGGTGACATTATCAGGGAAATTAACAGGCCGTCTAGTTAGATAAAGCGCTAATGAGGGCACTGAGCCCCTAAAAGGACTCTGATGACTTTGTCCAAGGTATGGGTTTTTTAAAATTAGTTTTTCCATAGAAGACTAACTTCAAAGCAGAAATACACCTGTCACTGCATCTTTATATTCTGTCACCTAGAAATCCATATCTATTTTGTGTATTTAATTGTCTAAGTACCTTCTCTATTTACCTTGCAGATTAATTTTTAGGATGAGGTTACAAGACTTGAAGTAGATTCAGTAACTTGTTGTTTTCTAAGACATAAAACATATGGAGTTAATATATAATCCAACTTGGATTAAAATCAATGACAAAACTTTCATCAGCTGTAATTGGTCAGGATAGCTGTCTTAGTCCAACCCTCCATTTATAAAACTGCAAGAAACTTTGATCCAATCCGTAGTTCTATTTCCTTTGCATGTTGTTAGTCAACAAGCCCCTCTCCAATGTTACCACTGCCCTGAATACTTTATCATATTGGCTAATCGTGGTAAATACAAATCATTTGTTTGAAAAATAAAGGTACAGATTACAGTATTGATGATGAATGTAAATGAAAAGGCAATTTCCAAAGCCTTCCTTTCCAACTGAGTGAAATCGGAGTCACCTCCTAGAGTGGGACGTCTTGGGACTCCCAGCTTTTTTCCCCGTTCTTCTATTTTAAGTTTCTTTCTGGAAATCTTACAGGCTTTATCTTAATCTTCTCTTTTTTGAAGATTATATTTCTGAAAATAGATAAGATAAATCTCTGAGGAACACGTAAAAGAAACATGACTCGAAGAATTCCTGCTTGAAATAAGTCTCCTTCATTGGAAATTCTAATTTGGAAATGTAGAAGCTATTTTTGGCTTGGCAACTTGTTCTTTTGCTATCTGGGGATATCTCCTCTGTGTTCCTGTCTATTACCTCTGTTTGCATTCTGAGGCATATAGTTCCCAGCCCTACGTAAGGAGGGATTAAAACACGGCCTTTGGGCTCACATTTGTCTTCTGACCTGGTTAAGCTTTTGTACAGACAGTCAGGAACAGCATTTCTCTGTTTACTGATACAGCATCAATCAGATTATCTGTGGATTGAAGCCAGGATATAAAGAGCAGCCAACAGGCTCCCCATGTGATCTTTGGGACCCTTCAGTAACTGTTGCTAAACTGATCAGTTGGAGATCAAAAGAAAGTCTTTCTATATTTGAAGTCTATAGTTGCAATCTGCTCCAAGACATAACAGCCTATTATGTTAGGGGGCATTTATGAAAAATTGTGAAAGAACAAAGCCAACAAAAACAAAGCAGTTAGAGGTACAGAAAAGAATATTGTTATTATTTTAAAAAGACATATTTGTAGATATTGTACTCTCAAATTGCAAATGGAGACAGGGGTACTCTATCTTTCTTATCTTCATTATTAAGTGCTTTGGTTTTATTGTATTGCGAACAGTTGCTGGGGTGCATCCACGGTTTTGTTGTACTTGTACAATGACAATAAAGTTATTCTAATTCTAATTCTAATTGGTCAAAGTTTAGGTGTTCAAGAGCTCCACTGAGACCAACCACTCTGTTCATTAAGTTAATCTGGGAACAATATGGTAAAATAATTCAAAATTGGGCTGTGTCTACATGTTTTAGGATAAGTTCGTATTCCAAGGTGGAAAATGTATTTCAAGAGTTATGGATAAAAGGACTGGATTTTTTAAGTGCTTAGAACATATATGGCTTCAAAGAGTCACACTTGCAGTTTTTCAGTGTCTTGTCATTGTTGGCTTGAGCTATGAATAATCCTAATTAATATTTCATTACATGAATATTCTTGTTTTTTAGCCATCTTCTTCTATAGTATCAATTATTACAGCCTCTGGTTTTCAATCTAGTCTACATGGCAGAAGACCCATGCCTAAATTTGGTTACAACTCACTTATTGTGATATTTCAATAGAGGTTTGCAATTTCAAGCACATTTACCCAATTAGTCCCTGCATGTTTCACACAAACTCCTTTAAAGAATTTGCATTAAACAAATGACAACACATAAAAGCTAAATTAAAATATGCAGCAAACTCACTGAAACAGCACTATCTCCCCACCCCCTTTTGAAATTACAACTTAATGTAAGGATCCAAGTCTCTCAAAATCCATCTTAGCTGTTTTAATCACATTCCATTTTAAGGTATTTTTACATATTAATTTTCTGTCTCTGAATTTGTAATTAAGAACTGATGAAAAAAATTGAAATGCTGTTTTTCTATTTAAATAGCAATGCTAGATAAATATTAAAAGTGCCAGATCATAAGGTAGTGGGAATTCTACTTCCATACAATACAGTATTATAAGATGTATAAAATGTACATATATTATGAACATTAACAAAATTTTCTTTAAAGAATACATGCAGATTTAACACCAAATAGTGTTAATTAGAAAATTATATTTAAATCTTACAAGATTTGATTTACAATAGCACTCTATGCACTGAAGTTTGTCTAAGAACATGACTTTTCTTTTATAAATTTTATTTTTTACGGCAGAAAGCAACTAAACAGAGGACATTTAAAAGGATTGGAACATACATCAGAAAAACGTGTATTATGCTAGTATTAAGTACCTTTGTCATTCCTATGAACTCTCTGAGACACACAGAAACAGAATTATAGGGCTAGAAGGGACCTTTGAGGTCTCCTAGTTCAACTCCTTGCCCAAGGCAGGAGAGCTATACCATCCAAGGCTGTCCAATCTTTTCTTGAAAACCTCCAGTGATGGAGCATGTATTTGAGAAAAACTAATGAAGTACTACCTTTTTAAAATTAATAACCTTGCACAAATTAAACAATCTTAATTACTTACAACCATATTATAGGCATCAGGAACCTCTATTTCAAACTGAAATGTTCCATTTCGATAATAGCCTTCATCTGTTAAGAAAAACAAACAATATGAGATTCTATAGAAATATTAGTTTACATTTTATAAACAGAAATAATTCTAATTTTGATAACTAGCATGGGTTACGTTTAGTCAACAAAAACTGAAAACACCTGCTTTGTTTTATCAAAGTAGAATATTAAAATGGACCATGAAGGTTATTGAATTTTACAGAATAAAAATTATATAAATATTATTATTGTTATGCCTATGGAAGTAATACTGGAAACAATAAATAACATTAAAATTGGAAGTGCCTAGCTAAAATAACTGCAGTTATTGTATACAATATAACTTCAATTTGATAATGCAACTAGGATAGGTTGTCTTGAGTTTAGAAAATGTATATTAAATATATTAAAAAGCAATTATTTTGGGGTACAATGAAAGGTACAAAATAGTCAGTGAATAGAAGATTTGCTATAGTACATTTTAGTTGAGAGGAATTGCAGGGAATATAAAAGGGAAATAAAGAGGTTGTAAATACTTTGAATAGTTGAACTTTGAGGGACAACATATTTAATAAAGATATTCAGTTAATAATAATGTTAAAACATTATTTCTGCATTAAAAACTTTATCTATTACCAGCATATTTGGATAATTTGTAAGCTTAAAATTTGACGAAGACACAAAACATAATAGTTTTGTAAACTTACATTAAGTATCACTACAAGATCATGGCCTTATAGTGCTGGACACTACAAATCCACAGAAGATAACAGAAAATCTAGATGTGGGTCAGGCCTGTCCCAGCTTGGGCATTTAGGAAAGAAAAACCCTTGACTCCATTTATAGAAAAAAGATATGCTTTTACTAAAGCCAAACGGTTACAATGTATAAAGCAAGATCTGAATATTCCTGTATAAGCCCTGTGTTTTTTTCCTCTGTCCCAGATCCTCCCGGGCCTTCCCCTCTTGGTCATCTGGTCAGCGTCCAATAGCATTCAAATTAGATGTTTTGGTAACAATCTCAACAATTATGTCCTTGGATCTCTTGTTGTCATTCCCTTCTCAGTGTTTCCTCCCCATTTCCCCCCTCTCCCTTTTTATGGCAGGATGACATCAATGCAAAGCAAAGCTGAAGAGAATGGCAGATCTGACAATATTGGGTTCATATTGGAATATTGGATTCCATGTTTGTATCTTGCAGAAATATATTGGTATATGCTTAAAAAACTATATAAGAAATATCCTTAAGTACAAAGGGTTAAGTGTTTATTACTAACTTTAAACATATTCATACCTTTTATAATCTTTTTAACATCATGGCCAAACAATTCAGCCTTAATAGATACTTTGATTGTCACACATTTAAATCCCTTTTTTTCCCCAAGACATTTTGAACAGTCCTCCTTGGAGATCCCTAGTGTCTTGTTGCTAAAACTAGCAAGAAAATAGTGGGGAATTGATTCAAGGCTGAAAACAGGACCCTGCTCATGGTCTGGATAAACTCTTATAAAACCAAATGAGGGAAGGACCCGAGATACTAAGGCAAGCATAAATAATGACAATGCAGTGATGACCAGTCATTTTCAAATCAAGTCCCTATTTTGGGAACTGTACAATCAAAAGCAGACAATTCAGTAAGAAAAGAAACTGAGATCATCAAGAACTTGGAGCCCTACTACCACAATGCTTTATTATGCAACACCAGTACTAAAATACAATTACAATGAACTGAGTTCATTGTTTATGAATTACTGTTTCAATAACTAATCACTATACCTTGTTTCATATTTAGTATAGAATAGAATGAACTGGAAGGGACTTTCGAGGTCTTCTAATCCAGCTCCCTGCTCAAGCAGGAGACCCTATACCTTTTTAGATAAGTGACTATCTTCTTAAAAACACCCAGTATTGGAGCACCCATGATTTCTGGAGGCAAGCTCTTCCACTGGTTAATTGTCCTCACTGTTAGGAAGTTTCTCCTTAATTCCAGATTGCTTCTCTCTTACTAATCAGTTTCCAACTATTGTTTCTTGTCCTGCCCTCTGGTGCTTTGGAGAATAATTTGACCCTCTCTTCTTTGTGGCAGCCCCTCAAATACTGGAATACTGCTATCTTGTCTTCCCTAATTCTTCTTTTCTTTAGACTAGCCAAACCCAAATCCTGCAACCATTCTTCGTTTTAGTCTCCAGGCCTTTGAACATCTTAGTTGCTCTTCTCTGAACTTTTTCCAAAGCCTCAAAAGTCTTTTTATAGTATGGTGACCAAAATTGGTTGCAGTATTCCAGGTGTGGTCTTACTACGGTTTTATAAAGTGGTACTAGTACTTCACATGACCTTGATTCTATGCCACTGTTTATACAACCCAGGATTGTATTACCTTTTTTGACTTCTGCTGCACACTGCTGGCTCATATTCAAATGATCATCCACTAGGACTCCAAGGTCCCTCTCACAGTTACTGTTTTTTTTTAAAATATAATTTTATTTATATTTTTTTCTTTAACATCCATAAGTGCTTTGTGAACAGTTTATTATCTGGGTCAAAATATTTTGCATATATTTCTGATAGTGATATTACCACTTAGATATACATAATCATACTTTTTCAACTTCTAACATTTGTGTATACAGTAATCATATTATTTTCTCAATTTCTACTTTCTACTTCTTTTTTCTAACCATATTAAAGAGTATTCTATGTCTATCCATCATCTCTTGCCTTTTTTAGAATTTCAACTCTTATTAACTTTTTGGTGAATCTGTCCTGCTTCTGTTCTGTTATCTTGTAACTCCTTGTCATTTTTGCTTAATCTAAATATTTCCGCTGCCACAGCATCTGTCTCTTGCTATTTTTTCCTCAACATTTCCTGGTTTCTCCTCTATTTTCTGAATTTTTTGTTTGTTTTTTATTGTTATTTGCTGGGACTTTCCTAATTTCATTGTATCTTGCATCAATTCCATCATCTCCTTATGATTTCTTGTTACAGCTTCCTTAATACATTGAAGCAACAACATTATTTCTTTATAGACTGCATTTGTTTTCTCCTGCTGAGACGTTTTGTGCTGATATACTACAATATCCCAATTGTCCAGAAACACCAAACACACTAATATTAATAAAATTTACATGGTCCTGGAGCTGTTCCTCAAACTTCCCTAAATGTATAGTCTTTAAATTTTTCTAATTTGTACCCTCCGAATTTTCCAAATTTTAAGCCTTATTTTTCTTCTTTCTTCTTAGTATTCCAAAATGGCCCACCAAATTTCCCCAAATGCCTTTAATGACAAAGTCAGATATGCAGTTTCAAAGATGTTTCTTGTTAATTGTAATCCACCTTGCTTTAAAGATCTTCAACAGCTCCCTAATACTTCCAGCAACCAAAACTCCAGTTGATTTGGAACCAAAATAAAAAGGCTTTCCAGGTATTGTTTGTCTTTCATTACTCCTCTTTATTATTCTTGTATTATATAAAGAAAAATTTTAGTCTAAGGTTATTCCCACAAAACACTAATATAATATTTGTTGAACCAGTAGATGATGTCCCCGCTGTAAATCCAGCTTTAAATACCACAAAACTTGTGTGGGGGGGTGGGGGGATAGGAAAAATGAAAAGTGAAATTCCTCTTTCTTTGGACGAATTATTCCAATGATGAAACAATATTATCCACAAATTAAATCCTTTTCAACTGCTAACTGTTCCAGCCCAGTTCTTTATTTTAAAGCTTCACAATCTTCCCTTGATAGTTACTGTTTTGAGTGAGGCCTCGCCTAATCTATACTTATATCTTTGATTTTTTTCCTGACTAAATATAAAACTTTGCTTTTCTCCATATCGAAATTCATTTTGTTGGATAGGGCCCATTGTTCACGTTTGTCAAGATCTTTTTGGATCATGAGCTTGTCTTCTGGGGTGTTGACTATCCCTGCCAGTTAATTATTCATCTATTTGAAGTATATAGTTATTTAAATGCAGACAGTTACTTGGATGTATTTATTATAAGCACTATCATTAATGTTGTTATAACTAGACTCTGGACATTATTAAGTCTAAGATAACAGAAGCAGCTGCTTATTTTGTTAGCTTCTACAGCTACTGATCTGCAATTAGAGTATTTCTTTCAATTTGGAAGGTAGGAATAAGATGGAAGTACAATAACAAAGCACTATATAAGGAAAGCTCTAAGCAGTCTATTTTTTAAAATATACACTATATTTCTGATGCTTCAAGCGTTGTGTTTTCAAATAAAGTCACAGTTTGAAGTCTTATTACTTTATGATAGAGCAATTAGTTTAATAGACCAAGTTCATTTATCCCATTAAAGCATTTGGCAACGTCATAAGATGCTTATGGACAAGTTGGATAATGTGGGCTAGAAAATATTGTGATCTAACTGATTTGCAAGTGATTGCACTAAAAGAGTTGATATAAATGGTTCTGCATTATTTGTGTGTGTGTGTGGGGGGGGAGAATCACATTGGATGCCTAGGTTATGTGATGGCTAGAGGGTCATAGCCGTGTCTTGCATACTTATCACTTCAGCGATCATCTACTTATTGAGCTTTCCTAACTTTCACTTAAATTCTAAGAGAAGATACATTAAGGAAAATTCTTTGTTAAGCCATGTTGATGGAAGGTGAGGTTGCAAAGTAATAGGAGATGTATAATTAAAAAATGGAAAATGAAGAAGTTACTACTGTCAACTCTGGACACTGCTTATAGCCATTGAAATTCTTTTTATTCTGCTCTGAATTTCCATCTGATGCTTATGGGTATCCTTTTGGACAAAATGGGGTTCAGCGAGAACCATATAAGCAACGTCTCTTTTTATGTAGTCTCCTTCTTTTGAAGAGCTCCAAAAGAAAAATCATTAGCCCAAAACAATTATAAATGACCTAATGAAAGATATGAGATCTTTACCAAATTTGCACATGATCTTAACAGGGATTGTACAATTCAATATTATCTCAATAGACTTGAATTCTGAGTAAAATGCAGTAAGAAGATATTCAATAAGTGGGGTAATCAAGATTCAAATGCAG